ACGTTACGTACGTTACGTACGTACGTACGTACGTTACGTACGTACGTACGTACGTACGTAGTAGTAGAGAGAGAGAGAGAGAGAGAGAGAGAGAGAGAGAGAGAGAGAGAGGAATCAAACAGATGACAGGACAATACAATGAGAAGTTCAGCACCTATAAAGTAGCAGACTAAGGAGTACTCATCCTAGAGATAAAAAAAAAACAATTACGATAGAAAAAAAGAAAAACCAAACAACTCTTCAGGTATTTATTGATTCTACGACTAAGAGTGACAATTCTATCCTTAATCCATTAAACAAGGAGCTGGTCAAAAAGAATTCTGCTTACCTGAACTTACGATATCCCAAGCAGGACCGAAATCAGCAGAAGACCCAGTACTTAGAAACCCAGCTGAATCAGAGCTACAAGGCAGATTATCGTTATCTTTAGAAGAGCTTTTTCGGCCCAAATGGATCCTCACAACAGGTAACTTGGTTAACTCTTTGGATTCTGAGAAGCCACCATTTTCTCTACGAAGAAGCTCCTCTCTCACAGCTGATTCAGCCTCCCTAAACCCATTTTGCTTTAAGAATTCAAGGACCCCCTTCAAATTCGCAACAGCCATAATCTCGTAAGAGAGAAACCTATGATGGGCGCCAAGGCGGTGGTTCAGAGAGAGAAAGAGAAAGAGGAAACATAAACCATATTTGAAATTGAGAGAGAAAGAGGAAACAGAGCTCAATTCAGAAAGAGAGAGAGAACAGAAAACTTATTTGAAATTGAGAGGAAGCAGAGCCCAATTCATGAAGAGAGAGAGAGCCCAATTCAGGAAGAGAGAGAGAGCCCAATTCGAAATTCAGGAATTGAGAAAAGAAGATGAAAGAGAAACCCAATTCACATAACGTGGTAGGAGCAGACGTAGCAGGTACGTTTAAGAGATAGAGGATAGAGAAACCCAATTCGGGAGCTGATGGGTGATAGAAACAGACGTAGAAGGTGGGTTGAAGAGAGAGAAAGAAGATAGAGAAACCCAATTCGAGAGATGATGGTTAGCATTAACAGATTTAGCAAGTGGGTTGAAGAAAGAGAAAGAGGAAAGAGGAACCCATTTCGGGAGGTGATGGTAACAAGAGATGCCCGTGTATTGTAGAGAGAGAAAGGGAATTGAGAAAACCAAATCAGGAAAACATTAATGGCGAAAGGAAGAGGAATCACTGGGTCGAAGAGCGAAAAAGACGAACGCTTGAGAATTAGGAGAGGCATTCTGCCGAGGAATCGATGAAATGGGTATTTGAGTGTTGAGAGAGAAAGTGGAGATGGTGTAACTTTCAGCTCTCCTCAAAAAGTAATTCCAGGACCAGTATGCATTGATGGCTGGCAAAAAGAAAAAACATGGTCGTCGGATGCACCCACAATTCAAACTCCCAAACGGAAAGCTACATGACACCAATGACCTGTAGAGAGAGAGAGGGGCCTTAGAGAGAAGATTTAGAGAGAGAAAGAGAGGGTGCGGACAGTCTGTGTAGAGAGAGAAAGGGGCCTTAGAGAGAAGATTTAGAAATGACGCATATTTTTTTAATGCGGGCTGGCTCGCATTTCTACGGTCCACAAGTATTAAGCGTCCATCTTCTCTCATGCGGGGTGGTACGCATTTCTACGGTCCACAACTATTAAGCATCCATCTCAAAGATGATGCAAATATGTGATCCATCTAACAACAATTGAACCTAGCGGTCTAAATGTTTTAATAGAATTATTAATTTTAATTTTTAAAATTTATTTATTTATTTATATTCATGATCTCCAAAGGATTATATATTTTTAAAACTTAAGTTAAAAAATCCATCAAAAAAATATTTTTATTAAAGGGCCTCCATTCCTTCATGTGTAAGCTTAGCCTACATGCCAAACGCATCCTTTAAAGATAGAGAGAGGGGAATTTAGAGATGAACAATTGTTTTTTGCGGGTTGGATCGCATTTCTATAATATACGATCCAGTCTTAAAGATAGATGCAAATAGGTGATCTATCTAAAAACAATTGAAACTAACGGTTCAAATATTTTTTTAATATAATTATTATTTCTAGCTTTCAAATTTTACTTATTTACTTATGAGTAATGATCCTATGAGACCCTTACACACCTATGTGCGTAAGATCTCAAATTATCATCATTAAATTTGGTACATATCTTTAAAAAAATCCAATCTCACACCTATGTGATAACTTTTTTCTAGATATATGTGTCAAATTTTATGACGATCTTTTGAATCCTTACACACATGTGTGTGGGAGGTTCTCATAAGATCATTACTCTTTATTTATATTCATGATCTCTAAGTTAAAGATTATATATTTGTTTAAAATTAAGATCAAATTATATTTAAAAAATATATTTATTGCCAAGCCGAAATGCAGGCTTGGCCGCATACTAACCACACCTTTTAGAGAGGGAGGGATTATGGAGAGAGAGTATGTAGAGAGGAACCTTAGAGAGAGAGGGTGTGGAGGGAAAGTCTGTAGAGAGAGAAGATTTAGAGAGAGAGGGAGGGAGTAGAATTAACAGTAAGATCCAAGGAACAAGGACATGTCAGCCATAGGCTGGAGAAGTAGGCCCTTCATTGCTGTAAATTCTTCTCTCATTCATGTTTGCGTGACTTCGTTATGTTTATGAGAGTGTGTTTGAGCCAAACATTATGTGCAAAAAATGTTACAATAGTCATGTCAATGTAGAAAGGCCATAGTCATAAGTGGTGTGACCGTCCAATAAATTGATAGATGGTGATTGAGAGAGTAGAACCATGGAACATCATAGGATGCGTTCTCCTCTATTTCCATCACCTTCTACTGTTAAGTTTGTTGATAGTCAAAATCCATACTCTTATATTGATGGAAGATGTTATAATAAAAAGAAATTAAGGTTTTTCAGAGAGCAAGAAAGAAGTCTTACTAATCTCTTCAAAACGGGGATCAAAGAAGATGTAATAAGTATCCTTTTTAAACCTTTTGAGGTCATAGGAATGGGTCTCTAAAAAGGAAATGTATCTCCAAGAGAAAGCCATGACCTTGTATCTCTTCTAACAAAAAAAACTGTAATTTTCATTATGATAGTAGAAATCTACTTGCCCTATAGGGTGAAACCACGCGAAATGTGTGTCGTTGTAGTATGTTGGTTTTTGTTTTATTTATTGCATACTATTTATGGTTGTATTCATCTATTTTATATTAGTCAACTACACGCATGATCTTATGAGGGATCCTAGTATCTGGGGTTCTCGAGAACCCTACACGACCAAATTATTTGATAAATTTTTTTCCTAAATCCCATGAGCCGTAGTTTTCTTCTAGTGTGGTTTTTTGTACTCGTTATAGCTATAACTTCACTATTTCAATAGAATTGATAATGAGTGTTGTTTAGTAGTGCCTCTCCTTAAATTAGTTCAGATATTTATGGGCAAATTTAGATATATGTTTTTTTAAAATGCTATTTTACTTCATTGAAAGTAATTGGTTGAAAATCACATGCTTTTGGGTAAGTCGGTGGGGGAGAAGGCCCCCTACCGGAATTTTTATTAATAGAAAGATGAAGAACACATTATTTTACAACCCTAAAATAAGGCAATTATGACAAGTCATGTAATAATAAGAGAGAGAAAGTCTGGCGGTCGACCACGCTAAATTGTGGGCCTGCATAAGCCGATGCTCTATTAGCTAGAGCCTCCGCTACCATGTTCGCCTCAAGAAAGACATGAACAATAGATCACATATAGGGCGAGAGCCTTGAACGACAATTGTCAACTAATGTCCGTAATTTCCATGAGGCAATGCATCGATTTTGAATAGAGTCTACAAGCAAAGATGAATCACTTTCTATTTGTATAAAAAAACAACTCATCTGAATAACTAAGATAGTACCCTCCTCAAGAACCTAGAATTCTGCATAATTATTAGACACAACTCCAAAGTATTTAGCAAATGTTGCAACAAATCCACTAATGCTATATTTTATAACCGCACCCCCTCCTGCCAAACTAGGATTGTGTAAGGACGCACAATCAATATTCAACTTATAACATTGAACCTCAGGAAATGACAATGCGACTAGGATAGAGGATTTTGGCTTCTGATGGTGCCACTTGATCTGTAAATTTTCAATAATCGACTTTTTTGACAAATGGAAAGCCCATTTTTTAACTTCTGCTAGAGCCTTGACATGTGAAGTAATACGAATTACAACATGTTCCCTCATTAGCGTGTTATATCTAAAAAGTTGTCTATTCCGTTCCTCCCACAGATACCAGATTGTAAAGATAGATGTCCAGATGTCAAGTAACCTCTGTAATTTAAATTTGAAAGCAAACCACAGACGAATAATATACAGGGCTGTAGTACGAGGCACAAATCTCTTGCCGCATCGCCAAGCTAAATATTGCCAAGCAGCCAGTGAAAATGACAGTGAAACAGGAGATGACATAGACTGTCCTCGTTATTTTTACAAAATGGGCAGATAGTAGCCATGGCAGATATACCTTGCTGTTGAAATATGGATGAATTCGGTAACAGGTTATGCATAGCTTACCATGAAAACCACTTAGCCCGTTGGTAACATTTCGAAGATCAAAGAGCACGAAAGAAGGTTTGAGCGGACCTTTTATACCGAATGAAGTTCCATACTGATTTGATTGAAAAAGTTCTATTGGCAGCATGAATCCATACCAATGAATCATCCTTGGGCAACAAGATAAGGGTATATTGCTCCACTTCTCCCCATATGCTATTCAATAGATTTGAAGGAGGTGAAGGCAAAGTACATGATTGGGGATTACTATCAATAAACTTTGTAACCTTTCTACTCTAAAATCTTTTGCCCCCCAAGTTCCCCCCAATCCATCGGTCCATTTGCATGTAAAGATTCTTGGATTGGCTGCAATGATAACCAATGATCTATCAAGAAATCCAACATCTGACCATTACCTGCACCACTGGACATTATCCCTTAGCTGAGATAAACCTACATGGATGCCCTTCCAAGCATGAGAACAATCCCTCTTAGCTGCAGACTCCTAAATGGAACACATTTTGAAATAACTGTGTTAAAAAAATCAGGCAAGTAAAGAAGATGGATTTGCTAAAATCCTCCATGCATGTTTCATCATACCTGCAGTATTGAAGTCCGTCATGTCTCTCGCCCCCAAGCCTCCCTCCTCCTAAGGAAGGCAAACTATCATCCATTTAACAAGGTGAACCCCCTTATTTTCTGCAACTCCTGCCCATAGAAAGTTCCGCTGAAGCCTCTCTATCATGTTATATTTTCTTCGGCGGCATAAACGATAGAATCTAGAAGATAGCAGAAGCACTTAGAACTGACTTAAGTAATTGAAGATGTCCTGCATAAGATAGACATAAGGCTTACCACGTAACTATCTTACTGATCACCTTTCCAACCAAACTCTAACAATAACTGTGTCGGAGATGGCCATAAAACAAATGTAGCCCCAAATAACGTATTGGCAAGGAGCCCTCACCAACCCCAACTTTCTCAAGATACAAGCTCGACTGCCCTGTGGAACCCCAAAGAAGAAAACCTTGTTCTTTGTAGAATTTAACATCTGACCAGTAGTATTCTCAAAATTAGTGATAATCATCTTTATAGCAGTGGCTGATGCATAAGATGCCCCATAGAAAATTACGACATCGTCAGTACAGGATAAGTGAGAAATCCCATAGTCGCATCTAGAGGAAAAAATCACATGCTTTTCATCATAGATAATTACAAATATCTAAAAAGTTCTAAAAATTTCAAAATAATTATATAACATTATATATAATACACGTATATACCAAACAACTCAAAAAAAAAATATTCAAAGTATAATTTGATATAAAATGGTTTACTCCTGATAAGATTAACTATTGTCGAAACATCTCCCTAATCAATATGAGTTTTAGGGCTGTATCAAATTTTCCATAGCATGTATCATTTGATCTAGAAATACTTACCCAAAACTCTTGATTTAAAGATCGCCATTGACTTGGCATCAAGTCCTAGTTGACTCAAGATCGACAACCAAGTGAATCTGGTTCAAGGAGCCCTGAAATTGCCCCAATTTTTGTTGTGTTCAGCTTTTTTCTCAATTTCTTTGTTGAAATATTGCCTGATCAATTGGACCAATGTAAATTAAGGCATTTTGATATTGGAAATACTGACACGTGCAACATCGTGTATCTATACACGTTAACATGTGTGGAACTATACCTGTATGAGTGTGCTTAAGGCTGTTGGAATGATATTTGTCCCATGATTTAAGAGGTTCACTTTTCTTGTACACAATTTTTATTATATCCAACCTACACATGATTAAGGGGCATCCATTGTGACGATCATCCCCTTTGCTTTAATTAGAAAAAGGAATGATTGTTGGTTTGTTAGATTAAAGTGATAAAGCATGGTAACTTCGAATGCAAAGCCTGATGAGTTTGAATTTGATTTTGAACATCTCTCTCTCCATTATTTATACATATAGA